GCCCGCGCCGCAGGTAAAGCGGGGCCGCGGGGACGGGCGGGGCCGCGCGATGGCGCCCGGCGCTGCCAACGGCGCTGGGTGCGCGGCCGCGCAGCGCTCTGGCGCTCCGGGGGTCCCCCCTGCCCCCGGGCAGAGCCGCGCGGCCCCACCGAGCCGGCTCAGGCGTTGCCGCCGGGAGGGATGGAGCGCGTTGGTCTCGTGGGCTCCCGGTCTGGAATCCGGTGGTGCTGAAATCCTGCACCCGGAGTCTGCGCTGTCCGCCTCCCGGGCGGCGAGGGGCACCCCGGCTCGCGGGGTAGGACTTGGAGTCAAGGAGTAGTAGTGTCCAGGTGTTGCTTTATCTTAGTCAAATAATGTGTCATTAAGGCTTGAGATTCCCAACTCTGTACGTTCTGCACTGGTAAATTGCTTAATTAAAATATCAGTATGCCTTGTGGGTCTTGAGGAGTGCTTTTTGGGGGATTTTGTACTGTGTTTTTAAAAGCAATGGTTAAAATATTCATGAAGGAAATGGGACTCCAACACTTTGGGTCGTATTCTGCCTCTGATGGGTTTTTGTGGTTCAAGAGCAGGCCAGCCGCTCCTAAGGAAAGTATCTATAAAACTTATGCCTTTCATTGTTAATCACCATTTTTGACATGCAGTAATGGCAGTAATATCAGGTTGCTGCTATTTGCTGTGCAGGATGCTAGACATGCGAACTATTACACTACATACATAATAGTAGATATGTGTGTCTGTGTATGAGAGAACTTTACTCAGCAGTCCTCCCTAAAGGTTTCTTCCATCAGTGAAAAGGTTTGGTTACTATAAATGGACCGATATTTGTGGGAAACCGTCAGTCACATCATGACAAGCAAGCCATAATGATATTTATTTTCTGCTGCTGACTTCTGCTACCAAGAATTATGCCCAGCGGTCACTGAAGCAATTCTAAAGGGCAGAGGGCACTTATGCAAAACCATGAGGGAAATTATATCTTTTCCTGCTGTACAATTCCTCTTTGGGGAGTAAGTTCCCAAATCTCCATCCTTCTAAAGTGATGAGTATTATGTCTAGTTTTAGTGAGATATTAGTAATTGGTGTCACCTGTATTAGTACTGTTTATCTGTATGAAGTAAGGCTTTGGTTTTCATGTTTGTATCAAGTCTTGCATATTCATGTGAAGTAACTTCAGTAAGTGGGAAGACTTTATGCCGCAATTTCCATGCAGTCTTAAATGTGGGGAAGGTTATTTTATTCTTCCATTAGTTAATAATTYACAAAAACTCGGTCAGGAACTGGCACAGCAACTAGCTAAACCCCACTTCAAAGGGAAGCTAACGTTACTGCGGAGGGAGATGGACTAAAATTGCCTATTAGTGGAGTCTACAAACAAGACGTATTCTGGAGATGTGAGGAATCAAATTTAACCTGCAAACCAGCATGTTTCCTGTAACGGAAATAATGTTTGTGGTTAAATGCAACCTAAGGAAGTACCATGTGCAAGGCGGCTGTGCTGCTGGTAGGTCAGCTAGATACCCTGCAACTGGTCAGGTAGATACCAAAAGAGAAAAGGCTTCCTAGGCTTTGTTTTGGAATAAGTAGCTTGTATAGTTCTGTATTCTGTCAACTCTATCTTTTAAACCTCTGTAATTGTTGAATTTTTCAAAGTAAGTAACCATGACTTGTATCTATGTTGAGTTCAGGGTAACAAGACGGAAATGCTAAATGCCAAGACGTGTTCTTCGGAGCTTTTTGCTTCATTTAGTTGCCTGGCTTAGTTTTCTAGGTTAATTGCGCCGTGTGCTGCCAGATTCACTTAAGAAAAGCAGACCCACCACATGCAATCTTCTAACCTCTGAAGCCCTGCATGGATTGTACAATCGGAGGAAAGGCCTTGTTTCCTATTGCTTCATTGTTGGGTTTTTTTTGTGGCTTGTTCTGAAGAAAGGGCTTTAGAGTCCTTCATTTGGGTTCTCTGGTGTCTAACGAGTGCTCACACTGCAGYTGTTCCTGTAGTAGCTGATGTTCTCCATGTTCATCCTGAGAACACCTCATGATGTTCTCCAGGTGGATAGTTTCAGATGTTACTGAATTCTTTATGCACTTGCAGAGAGTATAACTGATACTAAATTCATTGACATTCATTTAAACACTAATGATGTTAAATTAAACCAAGTTGCATCTCAGACTTTTCCTATTTGGGCATTTTATTCAATTTCATTCTTGTGAAGATAGTTAAGTGAGCCAGGCTGCTTGTAGGACTTTAAAGCAAGAAGAAAAAACTGAAACTGCTCAGATAAGTACAACAGATCCCCCTCTTTATCTCTAAAGTAATGACTGTAGTAGGGAACAAAAGAAGCGGGGAAAAATATTGCATGCTGTCTTCTGTTCCTTTCTCCATAAAGACTAGGGCCCAGCAACTCAGCGTTTTTAATTGATTTGTATTAGATTTAATCAATAGGTATTCAGCCTGGAGCCAATAGTTTATGAGAAGTTGCTCTACTGTCTGCATCACTGTCTAGCTTGATGACACTGATCATCTAGCGGTGGTTTGTCTTGGTCTTCTGTGTAGTTCAGCAAGTGAGAGGGCAAGATGTAGCATTATTTCTACGCTACTGAGGTTTCCATATGGTCACATATAAACTAAGATATAGAAGCAACTCAGACTAGAAATGACATTGGTTTTAGTTGGTACGTGACTCAAGGAAGAAAGCCAAGATGACAACTCTCTTGGTATGCAAACTGTACTGCAGGTTACCTGGCTTCTTTGCAGAGGGGTAATGGAGCTGCTGTGCAGCTTGGCAGTGGCACCTTCGAAATTTATCATCTTGGAAGATGTTTAATTACTCTGCAGGTGATGCATCTGCTAAACTGGCACCAAGACAGGTGATCCGTGATAACCTCAGAATGTCTCAAGACGCTGCACAGATGTAAAATTCATGGACCTTTCTTCAACCTTATCCTTAATATCAGAAGTATAATAGCCATCCTTTCTTTAATCACTACTGTCAGGCTTGACTATTTAGTAGAGTTTACCGTGTTTCTGTTTTTTTATTATGACTGTATGTGTTTTAAAACTTTTTGGGGGAGCAGGTGGAGGAAGCTGCAAGGTACAGCTTTGTAAACATTAGTCAAATCATTTAAGTTATTTGTGTAAGATTACTTTGTGACTAGGGAACAGCAGAACCCGCTGCAAGTTCTGTAGCAGTAGACAATGTCCTGGAATATCTCAGTGTATATGTGGGTAACATTTATCCTGAACCCTTCATATTAGGGAAGGGAGAAGAAGCTAAAAGAATGTTCATCTTTGTAGATCACATGGGGACCATGAATTTTTAATGCAGGAGGGCATACTCAAATGCAAACAAATCCTGTTCCTGTTTCCCTACTCTTCTTGCATCAATTGAGAACCTCAGAGTCTTGCCTGGCTCCTACAAAAACTTTATTACAGGAACAAAAATAGGTTTGCAGTGATGGTAAGGAGGCTGCAGCGTGGAAACAGTGATTCTTATTGCATGATGAGATCCATGTTCCAGGCTAGTGAGGCCTTTTGCTTTGTTTGTTGGAGTGATAATGGAAGGCAAGGAGATTTGTTATGTCAAAACATAAGATAGGCARGTGCTGTGCTGTAATGGAGTCCTTGCACTGTTACTGAATCTTCCAGTCCGTGTTGGTACTAAGCTGTGATAGTCTAAGCCCACAAACAAGACAGGATTTGAGTACAGATAGCAGATTGTATTAGACTACTGACATAACTTAGAGAAGGTCTTTGCCTAACTTTAGGTTTACTATGGGAAAAGAGAGGCTTGTCTTTTTAGAGAGCGGACTTGCTCTATGAAACAAGCTCTCAGGTTATTGCAGAGATCAAATAAAAGATACTACCCCTGCCTTCGAATTTTCTTTTGCCTAAAATAAAGTGGCTGAAATTCAGCTGATGAAAAGTAATTTTTTTAGAACTTTGGCTGTATATACATATTCTAAATTATAAAATTTAGGTGGAGGAGAGAGAGAATTTAGGTGGTAGTAGGCTGAGGTGATGGGGTTTTACTAAAAATAATTTTATGACTTAGGTCTTTCTAACTTGGTTCCATTGAGAAGGAATAGAATTTCTTTAAATGCTTTTTTCTTTTTAGATCTACCCATGACAACACAAGATGCCAGCCAAGCTCAGGGGAACATGACAACTGAAATGCCAGCTGGCCTTAATGAATCATCTACTGGTAATCATGTTACTTTGGTATACCTAAAGCTATAATATTTTTCCCAGTCCTCTAAAGTAGGGGATGGATGCATCCTAAACATCATGTGGAGCTTACATTTTCATACTAATTAAATCCTTTGAATTTTCTTCAGAATAAGTAGAATTATATATATCATTTAGGTCCTTTAAAGCTACTGTGAGAGTTTGTCCTATGACTTAAGCCCTGGTGATCTGCGTGACAACCTTGTGATGCTCTCAGAGTGGGCACAAGCAGAGAACAATTCCAACTTTTCTGCAGCCTTCATGTTTAATTTCAGGGGAATCATTAGGGCCAGTTTGACCTCTGTCTGATGGAGAAACAAGGCCTGTTAATACCCCTGTCTACAGAAACAGCATTAATGTGAAAAAAAATTGTARTTCATAATTGTTCAAAAATGCCATTTGGGACTGGTGGTGGGTGGGACTGACAACAATCCTGTACTATGAACAACTACCAAATGCACTGCCKTGCAGCTCTGGTCTTCCATGTCATCCATCCTCACATGCAGGTTTCCTGTTTCTGACAGTGCAAAGCCCAGGAGAAGGTGTGAACACCCACCTGGTGAATGCAGGCATCCAGGGGCACTGCATTCCTGGTGCCATGAGCTGGCACATGGGCAAGGCCAAGACTTGCTCTGCAGAGCTGGCAAGCAGCTTGGGAGGTGTGTGGCACCTCTGCCTAAGCTTGCTCAGAGACACCTCTAAKGTAGCCCTCTAGCAGGGAACTGCCCTAGCACAACCAGCTTCTGGTAATGACTGTAGCTGGGAGGCTTTTTAAAACAAGCAAGACTTTGAGGTGTATTTCAGTATTTTATGGAAGAAGATGAAAGAAGAAATATTTTGAGATTTCTTAGGCTTTCAGAGATCTTGCTTCTACTGTGCAATGATCAGCACTGTCATCCAGTGCTCAGAGAGGACTGAAGCCAAGGCCCTGCTCTCCTCTTCTTACTTTCCTGCCTTGGGACCTTTGTATTCCTTGAGCAGGTGTGATCAGGATGCTCTTTTCCTTTTGCTGGAATTAGTTTTTTCACTGTTTCCATCATTTCTGAGATGTATTATAAAGTATATGACARTAGTTTTGCAAGCATGTAGACCATATGTGGTTGTGTGGCTTCTATTTTTGTCTCATCATTTTAATTGAAATAAAATTAAATTTGTTTATAACAGCTTTATCTTTCACCTTACAGAGCCAATTAGAACTACACGGATTGTCAGCCGTCAAACTCGGGAGAGCATTTCAGACTCTTCACCATTTGGGCATAGTGTATCTACACCAGGTAAAAGCAAACATATGTCATCTTAAATCATTAAATTTCAGTTTTTATTCATAATGTGATTATGCAAGATTCATATTAGTTGATAATACTAGAATTTACAGTTTGAAATCAAGGTCATTTAAGTTGTGCTTAAAGCAGTATGGAAACTGGAAATCATGGAAACTGGAAAAGCTCTAAGGTGCTGTAATTGTACTGGATTGACCTTTTCTTTAAGTGTAGTTTCCCCTTTCGTCTTGTAGGGATGTGCTTCAGTTTCCTGGCAAGTTGTTTACAGGTAGTACAATACTAGGGAAGTGGTTATTTGTGTTGGTTATTTGGGCAGATGATATTGTTTCAGATAGCCTAAAATGTGCCATTAAAGATGTATTTTACTCATTTTTTCTGCACTGTTTTTGAAAGGTAGACAGCATGATCACAAGGCAAGTGGTGGGAACCAGCTGTGCCTTGTGCTTGCTGTTGCCTCCCTGATAGCTCTAACGTGCTTTTTAGGGCTTTGTAAAGGTAGTCTAGAAATAGTGCTGCCCATAGTGCTGCAGAAGGGAGATTTTGCTCACCATTCAAGTCCATTTAAATGTCATTTCCTTTTCTAGAAGGAAGTGAGGATCTTTTGGTCTATGATAGTGTTTGTTTATTGTGTAGGGAAGGAAATTCCCTTCAGTACAGARGGAGTTTTGTAGAGCAGTGAGAAATGGATGAGATTCCAGTGCAGCCCAAGGCATTTAGTGGAGATGCCTCTGGAGAACATGGCCTACCTCTGTCTCYCTGGCTGTGTTAACTTGCAGTGGTTTGGAGAATAACCATGGCCTGTCCTCCCATTTCTTTTCCTTGCTTTGTATTTATTTTTTTTTGTTGTTTAATTAATTCTGAGTCATACTTAAATATTGTTTTTTTAATACAGTTCTAGAAACCAGCCAGTAGGCTTTAGGGAAAGAATGTCTATAGGTGACTCTCTGATTTAGTCTGCAAAATAGGCAGCTATTCCATTCTTCCAGTATTTTTTTTTTACATTCACAACTATTATATTAGAAAGCCAGCAGCTATCCTATTAAAATGGTAGTGGCACTGTAACAGTGGTCACAAAACTCTGATACTCTTAAAAGTTCTGACCATTAACACAAGGTGTATGTAAAGAATCTCCATAGGAATCAGCATTTGGAAAAGTCTCTGCTGTCAAAAAATACTATTAAAAAAAAACAGTAACAATTCCATAGTGACTCTCTGCTTCCTGATTACCTCTGTAGGATCATAATGTTTCACTTCACTTCTGTCTCAACCTTATTAGGTCCAGATCTGTCCACGCAAGACTTGAAGCAAGGAATTGAAGTGAAACAATCTAATCTCACTTATGTCGTGTATGAGATACTCCTGTCTGGTAAGTGTGCTGTTTTATCTTCCAGTTAAACTGAATGTCTATGACCACACACGATATATGAGTTGCTAAGTAAGAAGTTGTAAGCAGCTTCCTGGGCACTAGAAGATTGATCTCACTGGGAAGCCCTTTAATTTGTGGAAGTTGTTTACAAAATATTGGAATGATACTTTAAGGACATAATAGCACAGCACTTCATTTTTTTTTCCTAGAATAAACAAAAAATGAGCTAGTGTCTGTTTCTCATTCTGGTATGTGAATTCTTGGTACATGGTTCTCCACTTCTACAGATGTCACAGGTATCATTTTTCTAATGGCTACTCCCCAACAACATAGGGGGGTTCATTTTCCATTCCTTTAAAGTGCAGTTTTAAAGAAATGGATCTCAAATGACACCCATTCAGTTTTTAGCCACTTTTTAATCAGACTGCAGAAACTTGCACTATTGTGAAATGAATTTCATTTGCAAATGACTCAGGAAAATAAACAAGGTAAGTTATGTTTGGCTCACTTGTTGAGACTTAATAAATGGATCTAATAATTGAGTGCTGTGATTACRGTTTTGCTTTGCTGTGAAAGACCAAGGTGTTATACCTCTAAGCTTAACCACAGGTCAGTGGATCCTATAATATTTCATCTCGGACTTGGCATTCAGTGTGTGCTGTTCCATGAACTTCAAATGTCTCTGCCAGACCCCAAAAAGCCTAAAGCATTTTATATGAGGAGCTTGTGCTTTTACACTTGCCGCAGCATTTTTTTAGATATGAATATATAAGCCAACAGGCTGTACTTTAAAGGATTTAAACTGTGAAAAGAAGCCCAATTTTTTGCCCATCAGGGATATGCCTGGGGTTATGGGTGGGGACTGTAATAATTTCTTGTATTCAGGTGGACTATTTTTTCCTTGGTAGGTATTTTTGATACTTTTGTGGAAAAACATATCACTTTGGACAGCCCAGCTAACGTTGAGCTCTCATGCAGCCTGGCCAGTAAATATCCTTATTTGAAAATTGTTCAAGTGACTTGGAAGAAGGGAAACGAAACCATTAAGCACATCAACAAGACTGAAAATAGCTGGAGCATCCAGTAAGTAGCATTYTTGGCAGTTTGACTTGCAGCTTCGGGTGAATTGCACCACGTGTGTATACACAGCCCAAAACTAATGATGTTGTATGCTGGGAAAGAGTGGAAACCAAATGCATTTGCTAAATTGATGACAGTAATCAGTATATTGAAACTGAAGGAAAAGAAGACAGATTGCAATTACCCTGAGCCTGGAGGAAGAGCTCCTGCTTTCTTCTGTGCAGCATTAAACACCCTTATCCTATAAGGATCTTATTCTTCCAGGTTGTAATTCTGTTCGGTAGTTGAAGTAGTGATCTCTGCCTGCAGTGTTGCTAACTAACCCCCTGTTTTGCACCTTTCTCTCCCCCCACAAGCCATGCCTTTCAGAAGACTCTCTGAAAGGCATCACTGCTCAGTTTGTCTACATTGTCAACACAAGGAAAAGAGAAGAACGATCGAGCTTCACAGAAAAGAATATTTAAACTGCTGTAAAGCTTTTCTTCTCTGGTGTCTCTAGCAATGTTGTAGAGAATATTCTTTATTTATGCGTTTTGATATTGGACTCTGAAAATCTGTATATGGTTTAATATTAACCAGGTGGTCCCATGTTTTCTGTATATTTTCAATTAATCTCAGTAATATCCATATAAAATTTCTACAGTGAAAAGATGGGGACAGGGTAGCACTATTTTGCTATTTCATATGCACAACCTATGTAAACCTTCTTCAAAGTGCTTGTGAAATAGATGGAGTCCAGCATTTCCTCTGCTGTCAAATTTATTAGTTGACAGTTCTTAAAAGTTGTGCTGTGTTGGTATTAACCAATTGACTGAAAGACTTTGAGAATCCACAGACTGTTTTAAGTTATCTGGTTTCACGTCCTTCATAGCTCATGCTGTAAATTTTACATTCAATTAAATATTTTTGTTCTGTTGGATCATATTCCTTAAAAGACATCTTGTCCTCTCTAGGTGAGCAATAAGGATGAAAATGGTGCTCAAATTTCTGAGCCGCCCTGTGCTGTTCTTTCTTTTTCCTAAAAATGTCATGCTGTTTCTAGATTGCACTAAACCTGAATCCTAGTGTTTTAACCATGGGTGTTCTGTGTTCCACTACTCGTCTGTTTTGGCTTCTCTCTAACTATTATGGATGACTAACAGCAAAGAATTATGAACAAAAGAACAAAATGATAAAACTTCATATGTTTTAGATTGACAGTCACAAATGAAGATGAATTGGGAAGTTACAGTTGTATTCTTAAAGGTGAAAAAGAATTCAAAGCTGTCTTCCATTTACAAGGCAAGTTCTGTTATGTTTTATTATATCACTTTTCCTTTGAAATGTTGCATATGGTTTAATTAATATGGTTTCTGTTAATATGGTTTCTGGATAGTATGGAAATTGAAATTTAGTTTGATAAGCAGTGGCTAATAGAGTCAAGGCAAGGGGATATCACTATTGAATGCCATTTCTGTAACCTGGAAAGAGGGAACAAAAGTTTCGAAAGAAAAACTCAAAAGCTGTTTTTATCAAAATCTGTTAACAGTCAAAGGAGCAAGGAAGCTTGTGTTTTTTCTAAAGGAAGAGCTGGTTTCCTCCCCATCTCTCCAGCTTTCCGGGGTGGAGGAGGGGGAACGGCCAACACCAAAAATCTTTAAAGGAGTCTCACATCTTTTATTTAAAAAAGCCAATGTAATTTCTGAAAACTTGGACTAAAAAGAATTGGTGTTAAGATCAGTGATGCCTGGTAGAATGGAGGCACATTTTTTGGGGGGGGGGAGGTGGAGAAAATCAATTATTTCTGAATCAACAAATAACTGCTCAAGTGCATCTTGGTAGCACATGCAAGAACATGCTGTGTGTTCAGTTAGAATGTGCCTCACTAGGTAGGATGAGGGAAGAGCCGAGCACCTGAATCTTCCTTCTGTTCCCTTCCCCTGCAACTCCTTTCTCCTGCTCTAGTTTCACTATGASTAATAGGTGAAATTCAGTTGACTTTTTTTTTTTTAAAAAAAGGCTGCTGAGAACCCTCATCTTGTACAGGAACTGTTCCCTTTGCTTTTTGTCTATGKTTTTTTGGAGGAAAAAAAAGTAATCAAGGCAAGCATTTGATCAGTGCAAGCAGGGCTCTAATTGTCAGTGCAGCAAGCTGGCTCTGTTAGCAGGGTATCTGGTCAGGCATCCTCAGGAAGCTCTCATGTGTGTTCACRTCTTAGCAACGCTGACATCTGCTTTCAAACCTTCAGCCAGGGGAGACGAGCTTGCAGTACTGAGGAAAGACAGACTTGTACTAGTTCATTCAGACCTTTTCATCTCTAAATTTGATTCTGTATTTTTCTGGTCAACACGTGGGTAAGATTTAGCCAAACAGCTATGCAATTCTGTACTTCTTTTTGTTTTGGTTTTAAGTCAAAGGAAGCCTTATTCTCTGAAAGCATAAAGTAGCTACTTTAAGGGCAAGCATTTGTTGATAGGGAAGTTGCTTTTTCTAGAACTATGTAGAACTGGCTGACTTGCTACAAGGCAGGGGAGTTGCTTAGTGTGGCTCAAATGCAGCTGTGTCTGATGCTACACAGAGTAACAGCCTGCCATTTTTTAAGATTAATAGTGTAAAGATGGCAGGAAGGAGAGTTTTGAGTCTTCCCAACAGATTTCTCATGCAGTGAGAATGATTCTGAAACTGATGATTAATATGTTGGTAGAGCCTTTTACTATACACTGTGACTAAAAGCATCACTACTGTTAACCACCTATTGCAAAGGTATTTCCTCAAGGCAAGAGCTGGGTGTTTTTGGGTGTGTGCCACCCCTCTCCCCCTGCCTTCTGCCTCCCCCCTCCATCCATGCCCAGCACAACCCTGCAGATTAAGAATAATTAAACTTTTACTCAGTCTGCTGAAAAGAAAGCACATGCAGCTACAAAACTCTCAACTCTCTCACTATGCAGCTTGTCTTGGTTAATTTAAAAAAGAAAATCTTCATATGCAACTTGCTGATAACATTACAGCTAGAATAGATATCTTGTCAGTTTTGCAGATAGAGTAAAATTGCAAAAAAAAATCTTTTCAAATTCAGTAGAACTAAAGCGTGTAGTTCACAGCTGTGGAAGAGGGCAGGATGGAAAAACTGCCCCAATCTGATTCTCGTTTAGTTTTCAAGATTGTTTGACTACTGCAAACAGGATTTCTGTGGCCTTCTGCAGAAATTCTGTATGAAGAACATCAGCCTGAAACRACCCTTCATTAAATCATGATTGCCAAATGACATAGCTGTCCGTCACTTATTCAAGGGAAATGGATCAGATGTTTTTGATCTTTTTTAATATTGTAATTAAAACCTGTAGCTCTTACGTGCTGATTTTTTTTTCTACTTGTTCTTAGTACCAAGCATTGAAGGAAAAGGAAAAACAATAATCAGTTATGAAGGAGACAAAGTCGTAATGATATGTAAAAGTTCAAATTATACCCCCATCGCTTGGAACTGGTACCTGGCCAATGGAAGCGAACAGGTAAGATTCCCATGAGTACAAACAATTTGCAAAGTGTAGTGGCTTCTTGCAGTAGGTTCTGCATATTGCATTTTCATCARTGTTAATGTAAACCTCTGAACATGGAAACAAATGTCGTATATTATTGGTTATCATTAAAGGTGTAGAGTTTGGTGCATTCTGGTTTGTATTTGAAGAGAAGAGCTTGTTTCTCTTCCCAAGTTCCTTACCTAAGAAAATTACAGACAGATAAGAATTAAACAAATCAGAATAGCCTTGAAGTATTTGTTTTTCCTATATTGATAGCTGTATTTCTTGAAGCTCATTCATTGATAGCAAGCAACCTCATAGCAGAACCCTTTTTAGACAAGATGTTAGTAATTTAAAGCGGGGAAACSTAAGCATGTGCCTCCTCTTCCTTATTTTCCTGAGTTGTGTTTCCCAGCCAATGTGACCTCGTTGAGTCACTGGACCTGAACGAAGTCACTCTGTGCAGGAGGCTGCTGYGTAACCTTCTCGGCTCTTGTCTGTTGGAGGCTGTGCAAAGCTCTAGCTTGGCCCAGTTTGACTCCTTCACATGCTCTCCTTCTGGGATCCCCCTTAGCCTTGGCAGCAYGGCCGCTTTGTTCTAGGCCTCTGCTGGGAGAAGCACCATCTGTGAAGAGGAGGTGAATAGATGTGGTCTCCTCTGCTGCTGGAGGGAGAAGGCTGCACTGCCCCAGCAGCACTGGCTCTTGAGATGATACTGACTCGTTTCCCAGTGCAGGGTCATTTTCAGCTCCAGTTCCTTTAGAACTCTGCCTGTTATTTGCCCTGTGGTAAAACATGGTCATTGGCTCTTAACATCCAAAACTGCCTTTGTCAGTGGAGAATCAACAGAGTTAAAAGTATCTCTCATCTCATCCAAATGAATTAAGCAAGGTAGGTTAGAWGATCCACTTCCTAAAAGTGCATTTTCGTTCACTGTTTATAAGGTAAGTAGCTATTAGTAGGGTGAGTAGCTAAGTTAAATCCCTTTCTTAGAGGTAAGCTTTACAAATGCCATTTATTCTTAATTTATTTTACAACTTTATAGACAGAATTTAATATAAAATTACAGATGTTGATAATAGAATTTGACAAAACACTTTCTCATTAAGCCTTCCTAATGTCTTTTTCTGTTTTTAGTTTGCCATTAATAATTCTTTGCTGTCAGATAAATATGTAATTGATCAAGTACCTAGCAACACAACCCATCTCAAGATACTGAATCTCATCAAGGAAGATGATGGCACCTACTGGTGTGAAGCTGTTTTTAACCTAGGAAAAAGCAGAGGAAAGCTGAAGCTTAAAGTTCTCACCTTCATGGTGCCACTCAAACCATTTCTAGCAATACTGGCTGAAGTTGTTATTTTGGTAGCCATTATTTTCCTTTATGAGGTGTATTCCAAAAAGAAGGAGAAGCGTGCAGGTAGGATATCTTTTTTCTTTTTTTTATGCAATATATTGAATTTAGTACCTTACAGTTTTTCATTTGAAGTYACAGACAAAAATAAAAGACAGATCATACTCCTTCATATAAGTTAAATTTAGTAGCTACTTCTGTTTTTTTTCCCTCCTTTTTCTCCTATAAAATAATTATGTATCTAGAATATTGCATTGCTTTAGCTTTAAAATCTTCTACAGGAGTCTCAAGTTCAACTAGGAAGTGCTTTCAGTATGAAATAAGTTTCCCATTAAGGGTCTGATACAGTCCTTACTAACTTTGGTTATAGAATAAAAAAGGCATGAGGAGGCTACACCTCTTTGTGGAATGATTATGAAATGAATGAAACCAAATGTGATTTGTCTTGATGGGAGTGTCAGGAGGAAAATGTGCAAGGAGGGAAATGCAGACATCACAACAGAATGCACTAATCTTTGTTGCTGAGACAGACACCTGTGTGCAAGTCAACTTGGATGCATTGAATTGAACAAAAGTGAAATGCAAGAATATACAAGGAAAAAAAAAAAAACAGTTTTATCAAACTTGATGAAAATCAAGTTGTTCTTAAACTTGAATGTATTTCCAGTTAGGCAGAGGAACAGAATAATTGGAATAATAAGTTCAGTACAAAGAAACAGTATCAAACAAGGATGTTGTTTTGTTTCACTTATGCATATAGTTATTCTTTCTTTGAATTATTTAATGTGTATGTTAGAGCTTTATATAATCCTTTTTCTGTTATGCAGAAGATGAAAAAGAATTTGAACAAGTGGAGCAACTGTGAGTAATGATCTTATATTCTGTATTTAAATATTTGCTCTTTTGCATACTCCTGTGTAATACAGAAGGCTGTGCCTTATTGTTAAAACTACTGATAGGGGTTACCCATGAATATGCAAGTACAGTTTATTCTTGTCCTTAAGCCTTCTTAATCCCATAAGGTACAGAATGTTGCTTTCTGCCTAATACTTAATTATATGGTGTGGAAGTTTTTTTGTTTKTTTTCTAGTCAGAAAAACAAATGACCTCGCTGTAAACACACTTATTTACGCAATTATTTAGGCTTATGTTAGTTATGTCAGTTAAGCAAAAGGCTTAGTTAATAGCCTTTTAGAATAACTAATCATTTTCAGGTGGAAACTTTCCAGAAGAGCTTTTTAGGAATGTTTCAGTCATGACCTGCCCATRTTAACTGCATCTGAATTTGACCAGTATATGGTCCAAACATTTTTCAGATGTAGTTACTGAGGCTTTGGCATCTGGCTTTTTTTTTTTTTTTTGCGCTGTGTTGGGCATAAATAGTACCTCATTGTGAAAGGTTTGCTAACCATCCCTTTTCTGAGATAAACTGTTTCCTTCCCCTTCTACCCACCCTGCCCCCAAAGTCTTTTGGCCTCTTACCTTTTTATTTCCTTTTAAGATGCAGTTCATTAGTTCCTTTTCTCTTTATTTTATTCTTTATTCACACCCTCTCTGACTTTCTATCCCTCCCTCAAACCCTTCTTCCCTCCTGTGCTGATGCTGCTTTGTCTCTCTGAGTGGTACCAATCTCCTTTTGAATTTCTTGTTGCTGTGAACTTTTCTGTTACCCTGTGCTATATTCACTTCCCCATTCTTTTCTCAATGCTAGCTGAAAATGTATTTTATATTTTCTTTGTTTTTCTTCTCTGAACAGTTATAGAACTGTAATTCACTTATTCTATGAGAGGGGATATGTCTTGGGAATATAGTATCCTGTTAGACTCTGGRCTGTTTGGGGATATGTCTTAAGTTGAGAATTCAGTAACTCTTGTCACATAGTCCTGCTTCTTGCAAACGTCCTGAAATTATACTTGTTACGCAATCTAGTGCACTGGTGATATGTTTTTATGCCTTATGAGATGTGACATGCTTGTGAGGCCATGGTTTTTATAAGTTTATTGATCTTTATGGAGTTCTACCTTGTTAGTTAAGTCCCTATGAGAAGAATCTATTAAACCATGTAATTTGGCCTAGATTGGTAAGCCAGAGGGGCTGCCCCTAAAGGAGCACTGCTGCTCCACCATGCCAAGTGATGCTGCATAGTACAGTTGAGCTTGGTCAATGAAGTGTCATTCGAATGTCACATCAGACACTAGATAGGAGGCAGGTGTGTACCCAACAGGAGGCAGGAGGGTGGTGACTCTGCAGTATAAGAGAACTGCTGATGCAGACCTGGCCCAGGTCTCATCTGCCATCGGTGCCGTGTTTGCGAATTGCCAGTACTTCCAAAGAAGCAACGGTCTGAGATGACACTTTGAGCCCATGCTGAATGAAATAGCATACAGCACTACACTAAGGCAATTATTGCAGCTGTTCCTCAAACTTCCCCAAGACTTTGAGACCTTTTTGTGTTGAACATTAATTGTTTGATAGTTGCTTAGGTCACTATATTTATTTTTAAATTCTTTTTTCTCTTTTGTATATCAAAAGAGAAAAAAATCAAATATGTCTTAGATGTGCTCTATGATTTGATTGTGGCACTGTGCTGATTCTGCATTCTGAAAGACCTTTGGAATTTAATTTCTTTCAGTAAATCAGAAGAAAGCAATGGCATGGAAAGCAGCAGCACTAGACACAGGAGAATATAGATCCCTTCCTAAAAGAGGAGGTAAGTGAAGGATGAAATAGCTGAAGAATTCTTTTTCCTTAAAAAATCTAAAAGAACAATAAAATGCCTTATGCCAGCCTGTGTTTTTTTTGCTTTTTTTTTGTGGGAGCAGTGTAGTAAAATTGTAGGCTAATTGTAGACTATAGACATTCATGACTTAATAGCATTAAGAAAGTCCAGTACCTTTTAATCGAATGCTACCATCATTATCACCACTACTGTTTGATAGTTTGGCACATTTATTGAGCCCTTTAAAATAAGGCCCATATTAACCTAATTAATGACTTGATTAATCATGAAGCACTTCTGTGAATGCCACTGTAAATGCTGAGATAAATAAGAATTGCTGATGTATCTGAAGTCTTGCTATCTCAAGCTGTAACTTTGGATGCTGCGTTAGGTTATGGAGGAAGGATGCAAGTAAGATAGCAAGAGGAGAACCCAAGTGGGGAAAATTGCATTGTCAGACAGGTAAAACAAGGAATTACAGGACACTAGATAAGAGGACAGAGCTTAGTACATGAAAGGATTAGTTGATGAAGGGATTAGTTATAGAAAAAAGCAGAAGACACTAATGCTGTGGAAGCTGTAGAGGGAGCTTCTGTGGTTCTCTACCYTCTTTGCAGTTCAGTTGCAGCCTCCTTCAACTCCCCCCAGCTGGAAGAGCTTGTCAGAGGCTGATCTGCSTTGGGGACAGCCCTGCACACCAGCCACTTCCCCTTGTTGCTTCCCTCTGCATCTGCCACCCTGTCTGTCATGGTGAAGGTGGCAGATACGAGTGACTCTGGTGTCACTGCTGGTAGTGCTTCCTCCTCCTCATAGGCCCTGTCCTTGAAGGAAGATTGTTTCTATACCTTTGTGCGTTAAAGATAGGGAAGARAATGCTGTAAAGATCATATAGAGAGAGTAACAAATAAGAAAAAAGTGAGAATAATACTTTTCAAGAGTGTGTTTTCTCCTGTTTCTCATATTACTGAGCTTGCAGTTGGTTGCTGTGACAGACTAGGCAAGGACTTGCTCTGTTTTGGATTCAAACTCCTGTTTTTATGGAGTCATTTTGGCACATGGCTCTTACTGAATTACCAAGGATTCACCAGCTTGTGAATCCAGTTTGAGTAGGAACCTGAACAAACTGGACTATTCACAGACTTTGCCAAGTATAAATGTGTCAAACAAATAAGGGGAAAGAGAAATAATGATTCATGTCATAATATGCTTTTTCTTTAATTCAGTTTTAAGGCAACAGAAGTGGAATGCTGTGCTACCCAACAAAGCTACAGAAGATAAAAAGCTACCAAAGCTACAGAAGATGTATGCAGCTATGCATTTTAAACATCCACTGTGTCTACGTTAACCTCTCTACACTTACTTGTGAGAAATAAGATGCTTTTAAAATGGCTGTGAAAATATTAATTTTATCCAGACAACTTTGTATTCTGATATTCTGCAGTTAGACCTTTGCTGTTAGTAAGATTGATGTTAGGCCTTTTGCTATTACAAGGCAATCTTCATGTAAGCTTGCCTGCAGTTATTTTATGACCGATCTGTTTGAGTTTTTTGTGCCCTAAATTGGGACTAATTTTGCGTTCACTAAATGGATGGGTAATGCAAAATGGGCCATTATCTAGAAGTGAATACTGAAAACTTGTTATAAAGCAGAATTCATAGCATCAAAAAAATTGTTTCCACCAAAGAAAATGCCTTTTTCTAGCAGATGAGGCAAATGTGAYACACAGCCATTTTTACCAAAGAATGGGTGAAAGGGAAATCATTATCATTATTTAAATGAAAGATTAAAGTGTCATAATTTGCTGTGAAGAGCCATAAAATGACTTTATTTGACTTTTTGCCTGCACTCATTTAAATCCAGAAAAATATAGGTATATTCTGAATATTTAAGATATAAATGTCCTTAAAATGCCTTTTCAAGTTGCTGTGCTACTGTGCTGTAATTCTAAATAGCCTAAGCATTTCAACGCCACGCAGGTGAAGTACAACAGCAATACTTCAGAACAGCTGAAAGCAAACAAGCAAAAAGGAGACAGTATCATATCAAAATATGACTGAACTAATTCCCAACTCTTGTACAAAATACCCTCTAGTCTGCAAGTGCCAAAGGTGAGTAGATTTAGGATTTTAATTTGTATAGAAGACAGAAATTTGGAAGTATRGCTCTGATTCATATGCCTGCAACTTTTGGATTAATACACAGCTGGGTTTGATCTGATTTGTTCCCGTTTCCTGYGGCATACTCTACTGTTCTTTAGCAAGTCCCCTCCAAACAGAGAATGCCTTGAGCAGCTGAGATTTTTAGGGTATTAGGATAAATCAGCAGAGCATTTGCTGTGTCTTACATACAGTTGTRATGCTGCTGTTATGACTCACGTATTGCCACAGACGTGCTAGTTGCTGTAATGGGAAATGTACCAATTAATTGCATTATGTATTCAGCAAACAAATTACACAGCTAAAGCAAACCAAGAGATTACATTAGTAGCCTTTTTTAAGGAAGGGAAAAGTATACTCAAATGTTCCTGCCTTCAGCGACAACGTGAGAGCAACCAGGCAGCGTTTGCAAGCTCCCTAGTCAAGGTACAGGAAAAGCCATCTTTTCAACTGCACAGCCTCAAGTGGCCTTTTCTTCCTCRAGAGGAAAGTGGGCATAAAATAAAAGATAAAATAGAGAAAAGAAAAAAAGAAATGAGAATTGGAACTAAATTCAGTGTTCAGCTTTAATGAATTGAGAAATATCAGAAAGCCTATCCTGGGGTATTTTGTTGGAAGAGAGGGGAAAACAAGGTCTCATCTGTGCTTTTTTTCTTGTTTGCTTTCTATTAACACTTTATTTTGTAATATTAATTTGTGGAACTTTTGAAGCACAAATGAAAAGCAATAGGCAATATGGAGGCATAAACTGATTGACTTTTGAGGCCTGAACACTGATAAAGATTTCCCTTACCTAGATCCTGTTTTATTGTATTTGGCCTTGGAGTTTCTATGCACTATGCAAACCAAAATGCATTTACAGTTTTTTAATATGAATTTATATTATAACAGCTTTTTTGTTATAGTAAGTAAATCTTTGCACAGTTTTTAAAAAATACTCCTGTATATTGATTTTTTTGAAATGTATCATTCCAAGATTATCACTTTTATGTAGAAAATATATATTTTGGTTGGAAATCCAGTAATGAGAATTTAAGTTTCCTTACAGATTTATGAATTGGATCCTGTGTAAAATGGAGTTACTATGTTTTCACAAGAAGAATGCATAGGAATAATATGAAAGACATCCTATCAGAGAAGGGGGAAAAGTAGTTTCAATTCTCATATCCTGAGTGTAACTGCCTAGCTACAAAGTTTTGTGGCCTGCCCTTAAGGGGGGAATAACAACTACTAGATGACAACTGTCACAATTAACTCTCATAACTCCAAAGGCAAATAAAAGCAGTTTTTAGTTTAGAAAGACTTTTTTTTTCCAGAAGAAAGTTCTACAGATGTATAAATTCATATTTCATTAAAAATATATATTTTTGTATGTTCAAAATATTTCTATTGCAGTTATTTTGTGTATGTTTTAGAATGCATAAATAGCTTTAAAGGAGCAAAAACTTTACAAAAACTCAAATCAGTGACTTTTTTTCCATCTGTTYCAAGCCAAGAGCTTGCCAAATGAGAGCCAAAACAATTCTAAAGATCCTTTCCTTTCCTATGCAGCACTTGCATTGAAGTGCCAGGATCCACAAAATGAGTTTGAGCTGCAGCTTTGATTTATAATGATTCTGTTGCACTTAYTTGACATTTTTTTCCTTCCTCAATCAAATCTTGCTAATCTTCAAGATAGGAGATATTATAGTCTGTCATACTAGCAAAAACCTGAATTCTTCCTTGAAATGAAAGAGTTGTTTTGGAATCTACCAACAMCRCCTGAAGGGGCCTGTTTCCTTTTGYTTTAAACTGGTCACTACAACTTCATCCATCTTCTTTATGTCCAAAGTGAACACAAGCCCCTGGGAGACCAGAATCCTAAGGAAACATGATAGATGTTAGAAGAATTCCCAAATKTGGGAGTGCATAGAGAACCATGGAAATAATTCCTTAGGACTGAGAAATAAGAATTTGCCAGTGTATGGGACAGAGTAATTAAATAGTTGAGAGTTGTTTGACACACAATTTCTCACCCTATTGACAGACACACAATTCAAATAAGAGGAAAAACTAAGTGGTGTCTTTGATGTAGGGGAAAAATGTTTCAGTGAGTCTTCTCTAACTTGTTCTGGTTTTGGGTTTGCTGTTGAGTGTCCAGCAGGACCATGACTCTTCCAAGTGTGTTCCTGGTGGGAGCCCCACTGGGAATCAATCAGGAAGGGCCAAGCACTGAGGCAAAAAGCAGCTGTCGGGGCCTGTGGGACCATGAGCAGGAGCTGCTGGTTCCCCTGGGGCCCTAAGGGGCAGCAGGAGTGGGGAGGATTTGCTGGTTAGGGAACRATTGACTCACAGTGCTAGGGGTTGGCACAGGTGAAAACACATGAGCAAAGCCTGCTAATATAAGTAAAGCAAATGTTAACATCCTTAGAAAATTGTCTCTGCTAGTTTTAATACATTTTATAGGTTTACTACTTTSTTATGCCTTAACATCCATATAAGAAATACATTAACACTTGACTCCATGGAAAAAGATAATCCAAGTTCCAAGCATTACAGCTAGTTTTTTACTAACCTTGTCTTTGATTTCTTGGAATTTGCTGTTGCCAATTGATTACAGTTAGTTTCAGATGAATCTTGCAAGATTTCMAACTTGTACTGTTTGTTCTGTCTTACCTAAAACAAAGATTTTTTTCTTCCGCATAGCAGTATCAGTCTAATAATTAAAAAAAAAAAAAAAAGTTATTCTTTTTGTTAAAGTTCAAGGGAAAAGTAAACCAGGTGAAATTTGTCAACTGACTTCCTTTGTGAATTATTCCTAAATGGACATTAAAAGTTATGCAACAGTGCCTTGAAGGAAGGAATTCATTTGCCATATTTTTAAGCTCATCTTTATCTTTTGCAATATGTTTGTTAAGGAGTTTCAAAGGAAACTTGACAGCAAAAGCTGTTTTTCTAGTGAAAAATTACTGAGCCTAATGCTTTTATCACGCTTGCCTTATTTTACATTCTGATTTTATAGTCTGTGCTCACTCAGCTATGTTTTATGGTTCTGCTTGAGCAGTAAGATGTGTACTGAAAATGGAATATCTTCTCCTGTATGTTTACTGTCAATGCAATAATAAGGAGAATAGTCCTATGAGTATGAGAACTGGCAATATTGTACTTTCAAATAATTCCAATAAATTTAATCACAAGAATTCCGTAAAGTGGAGCGTGAATTTGTGCCTGTCATTTTGGGGAAGTGAAAGCAGACACTGAGTTTCATTTCTTCTTTTCTTTGTCTGTATAAATAACCGTTCACAAGGWTCACTTGCAGATCCATCTCAGGTCCTAAGCCCCTCATCTGCTTGAGCACCAAACTGTTTTTAACCTGTGATGGTTTGTGTGTTTCTGGGTAAAATCAACAAGGGGAATGATGTCTGACTAATTCCTTTCTAAAAGTTCCTATTGCATCTGGCCTTAGTTCATGCCTTCTAGCTGAGACATCTAAGTTAGGGGTCTGTTGTGTCTGTGTATCCTATATGGCCATTATGAGACAAGAGGTAGCTTACAGCAGAGAGTAACAGCCCCCATGGAGCTTCAAGTTAGCCAGGGTCTATCGAGGGCTCTGAGACAGTGTTAATTTTCCCAAAACACATAACTTGTCAAAACATACTTAAAACAATGTTAGTCTTTCTGTGAAGAGAAAATAGGTATGTGCTATTAAGCAAGGATCTCAAGAATGATTTTAAGGGAGACCTAAGGATATTGCATTAACTTGCTTCCTACTGTGCTCACAAACAGATGTAATTATCRTATTTTCATAGTTCGTATTGATATGAACTATGGTTGTATGGAACTATTTTAACATTGGTCTCACCAATGTTAGAATAACATATCTCATTCACTAGAGATTTTACTCAGTGACAAATGTTGGTAGCCCTGCTTGCCCACCTAGTTCCACTGTGATGAAACAGCAGCAAGTCCATGTTCAGATCCCCCGTTGTCAGGTGTTCTTATCCACCTGAACATCCTGCCCCTCGCCCAGGAGCGCGAGACAGGCAGACACACACCTGGAAGGCCACGGACTCCTRTGGACAAATGCACGGCTAACATCAGGTCCGTTTTCACTTCTGCTTTGTACCAAAAGGAAAAGGAAGCTCAGACCTGATGAGGTATTTTCTGTCTCTTTTTGGTGAAAATGACAGTATATCAAAATGAACACTCACCAGAGAAGATTTATTTCTGTAATGATTAGAACATTTACAAATATAATATTCTAACGGAGGAGGGAGTCTTTTCAGAATAACCTTTTGTTTGAACACCTACAACAAAAGTGGGAAAAAATGTAAATTAAAGAAGCATATCATTGTGATTTTCTGTAGCTAAAAAAAAAGAAAAGCTCTGACTGTAAGATAGCAAGAAAAGTTCCTTGTCTTGCTTTAGCTGGACGCAGCAATGCTTTGTTTCTAGATGGGAAGCTGAGCGTAATGACAGTTGTTAAATAAGGAGCAGTAACCTTAATAACAAGGTGCTTGCAGGAAGCCCAGAGAATGTTTTAAAATGCTGTAAGAAAAGTAAAAAGTATCTTGTGTTGCTGTCAAAGAAATGTAAGAAAATGAAGGACAGATCAGCATGATTAAAGAGCCAGAAGGTAGATGGGATCCTCCTGCAGGAATAAACCCATTATTCAAAAAGTGAAAGGTAATAACCAAACAAAGAAAGCACCTGTGAGGGGTAGATTACCAGATAAAACAGTGATAATTCTCTTGGAAGAGCTCCAGGATTCCAGTAAATCTGGTCTCCATGAGTAAATTCGTAGAAATGCCAATAAAGAATAAAATCAGCAGACATAACTGTATGTGATATAAAATGACAAAGAATCAAGAGGAGTTGAATTTTGACAGGGAGTTGAAGTTTGACATTTTGATATTCCAATTACAAAAAAAAAAAAAGGAAAAAAAAAGTTGCTTTAACAAGAAACGAAGATCAGGAAAAAATGGTCAGCTTTCAATGTGTGAAAAGGTTCAGTGCCAAGTTCTATGTTGTTCACCATAAAAAAGAAAAAGGAGGCATAGTGAGATGAGAAAGTTTGTATCTGAAAACGAGCTCTCGGAATTCTGCAACTGGCAGATGACAAAACCTGATGAAGGCAAAATTGTATTTAGTTTATGTACCTATTTCTAAGTTGTAATGTTCCCATATTATGCAATTAAACTAAG